CACACACACACACACACACACACACACACACACACACACACCATCCCCTTCACTAACTGTAGTTGAAAACATCTTGGATAACAGTGCCACCAAGCGTCCATACGCAAAAATGCAGAAACATCCAAGTGTGGCACTGGCAAAGCCTTGGGGTTTGCAAGTAGATGTAAAGAGGAAAAACCAAAAAACGAAAACATAGAGCCAGAGTCATGAAGGGGGATGGTAAGGCTGGGATGAGGGTGGGGGATTCTGGGATGAGGGTCAGAGGAGACAGGATGGAATGAGGACAGGGCTCCGGGCTGCCCCCCCCACTCCTGTTAGCTCAGCCCCCACCCTCTCAAGCAGGACCACAGGGTGGTGCTTATTAAGTTTTATCTAGTCTCCCAAGTCACCCCTGGATGCCAGCGCTCTAGAAAAATCAGAGAGCATCAGAGAGTGAAAGCCTATAGTGATGGGTGCTGGTGGGATGCCAGGGACTGGGATGCAGCGCATTCAGTCTGGGCTTCAAGGCAAACAGGTGACCTGAAGTAGAGACGATGGTGCCACTACTGAAGCAAATAGAACTGTGTAAAAAAGAAAAAAAAAAAAGCTTCCTGGCTGGTATGATTTTTCCCAACTGTCAATGGAGAAGTCAAATCCTCAGGCTTTGGAGCACAAATATCCAGGAAAACATTGTTTCCCTCCTTCCTTCATGCATCCTGACACTGGGCAAGCCAGCCCTGAAGCAGCCCACACAAAACCCAAGCCCAAACCAAGGCCTGCCTGAGGGCTTCAAGGATCTGCAGAGAACATTGTCACCGCCCAGGGAGTGATCTGGGAAGTGAAGTAACTGGACCCATGACACTTTTCCTGAGTCTCTGGGTGTAAGGGGCTGCCAACAGGGCAGGGGCAGGCTGACACTCTAGCCCAGTTAGCAAAGGGTTCGCCTAGCACATATGAGGCCCTGGGCTCAATCCTTAGCACCACATAAACCTAGAACTCCAGGGGTGGAGGCAGGAGGATCAAAAGTTCAAAGTCACCCTCAGCTTCAAAGTTCATCCTCATCCAACACAAGTTCTAGGCCAGCCAAAATCAACCTCCTCAAGGAAACCTCTCTTTGGAACAGATGGAATCCATTACAGAAAGCCACAACCAATCAAAATGCAGAGTTGTGGAGTCCAGGCCCAACTGAGGCATCTACAACACAACTTCCAGGGCTCCAGGATCATTGCAGACAAAAGGGGTGGGAAGATTATAAAAGCCACAAGATCGGAGAGTTTGCTGTGAGACTGTGTCTCCTAGGAACGTCAGAAGCTACACCTGTGAAATCTTACCAACGTGACTGTCTAAACATGACTGAATAAAGGTGACACCATGCTAACATGGAAAGGGGGAAGCAAGCCCACGAGGCTTCAACCCTAGACAAAGAACTACCGGCAACTAAGGAATGCCAAGATAGGGATAAATAGTCTTTCCAAGGAAAGAGCATACTGATTGGTTATCTAAAGTAGAGGCCATGAATTTGAAAGAGGGCAGTTTGTGGGAGGAGGGAAAGAAAAGGGAGAGATGATGTAATTATACTATCTATAATCTCAAAAAATTAAATATGTATATATTTTTAAAGTCCAAAGAGAACTGGGGATGGCTCAGAGGGAAAGAGGGCTCTCTGAACAACTGTAAGAACCTGAGCTCAAATCCCCAGCACCCATGTAAAAAGCTAGGCTTGGCTGCAAGCACCTATAACCCTGGCACTGCAGAGGAGGGAAACAGGAGGATCACTGGGGCTCAACAGCTGACAGCCTGGCTCCAGTTTCAGTAAGTGATCCTGTATCAAGCATACACAGTGACAGAGCAGGACACCCAACACCCTCCTTCAGCCTCTGTGCATGTTTAAGGACAGGCAACACACGCAATCACACATTTTGCATATAACAGAGGACTAGAAATAAGAAAATGGGCACTGGGTAACCCCAAGCAGTGACTTATTCAGGCAGAGGTCAGTGGACACTCAATGCATTGGGTCATCCTCAGGGAATCAAGATGTCACTCCAAGAGTAACTGTCAATTGCAAAGAAGGGCATTTACTTTTATAAGGGCTAGATCAGAAGGCAGAGGATAAGTCACTTGGCATTATGGCTTCTTGTCGTGCTGCAATACAATGTAGGGAACATGGCCTGTGGAGAGCTCCAGGCAAATCCCGTTGACTGTAAGCAGCTACCTTCAGTGCCAGGAAATACAGGAGCAAGGAAAATAAGGAAATGCCAGAGAAAGCAACCAGAGAGCTCCAGAATTTGGACAAATAGGCTCTCCTGTAATGGAGAATGGCAATGAAAAGACTAGTGTGTGTTCCTGCAAAGAGATAGCAGTGGCTGGGGAGGCCCTCGGTACAGGTTTGAGGTTGAAAGCTAGACTTGGCATTTTGGATATGAAAGCAGAAAGAGAGGGGATTAGAGGCTGGCCCACATACTCCACCTTGGATGGCAGCATCCTTATGATGGAGGCTCCTATGAGGAAAGCACCTGGGGGAAAATTTTTCAAAAGGGCCACAGATAGAGAAGGTCAGAAGCAGGTGGAAGTTTGGCAGGGAGAAGAAGAATCAGAGCACACGTATGTAAAAAGTTGGGTATCAACAAGGTGACTCAGAGCATAGACAAGTGACTTGATAGCCTGGCAAACTTTGTTCGATCCTCAGAACCCACAGTGAAAGAAGAAAGCCAACTCCACAAAGATATCCTCTGGTCACACACACACACACACACACACACACACACACACACACACACACACACACACCATGGCTTGCCTGCCCAAACACACACAGATCATACGCACAAACAATGTTTTAGAGGCCAGGAAGATAGCTCAGCAGATAAATGTGCTTGGAGCCAAGCCTGCCAACCTGAGTTCAGTCCCTGAGAAAGAAGGAGAGAACCAGATCCCACAGGTTATCCTCTGACCTCCCCACCCCCACCCCAGATGCCTGCTCCTCACCATTTTCCCAGCAAAGCTGACTTCCACAAAGGGATCCACCAAGTTCTTCTTGTTACTGTCAAAGCCAAAGATCTGCTTGACGTTGTCCATCACGGCATCGTCCACTGGAGAAGAAACACACCTGTCACTGCTTGCTGATGTCTCTTCTACACAGGTCACTACCTGTCTGTTGTCCCCCTCAAGGATCAACTGTCTTGTGTCATACCCATCTCTGCCCACCTGCTAAGTCCTCCAGCCCCCACTGTCCCACATCACCTCCTTCACTGATAGCCTCCATCTCCTCCATCCCCCACTGTCCCAGCCTCCAGCCCCCTTCAGACCCAACTATCCCTGTGTCTCCAGGCAGTATCAGGACTACCAAAGTGACATGTTGTGATCCCTCATCAGTTCAGGCTCTCCATAAAGAAGGGACCCAAAACAGCAGCTTAGGAGCACTTGCCCCTCCCCAAACTGACACTGTCCCCTGACACTGGGCTTCAGAGCCTGCCCACATGTAGTGTCTGTCTGTGGAGCTGATTCAAACACCACACCACTAAGAGCAGTATGCAATCTGGAGAAGGATGGAAATACTCCAGGTGCCTGATGGCATATCCTTAATGCCATGACCACAATGATCCACCTGTGGGCCAATCTTGATTTAAAGAGAAAATAAAAGAGGTCCAGTGTGTAGCCTAAGACTTCCCATCTCCGTAAGACCACCAGACCAGGCTAGAGAAAGCTGGAGTGGAGCCACCAGGCAGTTGTCGCTCTCAAGGCTCCTGAAGCTACCCAAACCCACCTACATGTATTGCTTTCCTTTACAACCTGATTGCTCTTCTGAGGGTGGCACTCATTGTTGAGTGCAAACATAGGGCTCTAGGTTCAAACCTAATACCACTGTTGGGGGGGTGTCAAATAAAGGCTTGTATTATCCCCCAGACAGCAAAAGGCAGATATCATTGGTAACACTAACAGACCCTGCAGGAGGAAGCCAGGTCAACAGGAAGAAGGGAAGGAGGAGGGGGTTAGTCCCTGGGGATAGAAGCACTGAGAAAGGGCCCAGGCCTCTCCTTTCCCCAGGAAGTGGGCTGTGGCCCAGGGTCTATGCTTTAAACAGCAAGGCAGGAGCCTCTTGTAGGTCTCCAGGAGGGGAAATCACACTCACTCTGGGGTAAATCCTCAGCCCGGAAGAGCTTCAGGCAGAAGTGGGCTCCTCGAAGGGCCACACCAGTGGGCCTAAGCAGGTTGCCTTCAATGTCCTCCTTGTCTTCAGAAGGATCTTTCCTCTCCAGCTGCAAAGAAAACACACAGGACTCCTCACCAGCCCCTGGCACCATGCCCTGCAGTGAAGGGTGCATCCTGAATTTGGGCACCTGCTGCCTCTTGGTCCTTCAGTTGGCTTAGCTCTCAACAGAGCAGTGGGAACCAAGACACACACACACACACACACACACACACACACACACACACACACCCTAGATGCATGGAGGACCATCTTCAACAGTAACAGTTGCTACTGGCACATGGCAGGCATCCAAGCCAACCAACCTGACAGAGTCCCCTGTCCCCTGTGCCCCACCCCCACCCCAGTTAAGAAGTAGCGTGGTAGTTACAGAGGTCTAAGTTAGATGTTCCACCTTTAGGGACATGTGTTCACTCACACAAGTATTGACCCGGTGACTCCAGAGTCAGCATGGTGCTAACGGGTGAGAGGCACCCCAGTTAGGGTGGAGTGAGGCTCACGGAGCTCACTCCTTTCAGAAAGAACAGGCCTCTATGCAAATGAAGGCAGTGACACCGCATAATGATAAACACAGTGCCACCTAGTGACTTCTTGGGGGCAGGTAGGCAGTGGAGGTAGAGGAGAGAGTGAGGTCAGCCTGGTTCAGCAACCTACTCCTTAGCAAGCTAACTGAAAAGGTTGCAGCCCATTGCTGACTCAGCCTGACCCCCATGTTGAACCCCACTTCAGCATCTGCAGCAAAACATTTGATCAGGAGCAAGCGTCCATGAGGGAGACACTCTTCATGTTACTCTTGTCAAGTCAGAAGAAAACCTTCGCCTCCTCCAGTTCCACGTGCTTACAAGGACGTGAGAGTGGCTGGAAGAAAGGAGGAAAAGGGCCGGCCTCCTGGAAGAGGAGAACTGGGTGTGTGGTTCCAGGGACAGAGAAAGAAGTTGTAGCACAGAAGACGGGAGAGAGAAAGGAGGGTGGTGAAGAAGGGGTGGCTGAACAGGGTGGAAGAGAGGCACAAACCCACTCACAGTGGGGGAGAGAGTAGGATGGCCCGTGCTCCTCTTTGTAACGTGGATGTACTTCTCTGGTATCGCTGATTCAGTGAGTGTTTCCCGACTAGTCCATGTACTAGCTCCAGCTTCAGCAACCTTCAAGAGGCTGAGCTGCCCTCCTCTCACCTCCCTTCACCCTCCCCCGACCTTCCTCAGTCTCAGGACACTGACTGCTTCATGTCCAGCTCTCACCACTCCTGAGCTGCCCAGCTCCAAATCCCTGCATAGTCCACATGCCTCCCCTTGGGTTGTAGCTACAGAGAACTTTGACAAAAATGGCCCAACCACACAGCCTTCACCCTAACATGGTGTTCTATGTGTAGTACAAGATTCTGTCATTTGCTGGACAGTGCAGCCTCCGCTGATGAGGGAGCCTGAGGCAGAGGCTCACAAATTCAAAGACTGGGCTACACCGCAAATTAAGGCTAGCCTGGGCAACTTGGTGAGACCACATCTCCAAATAAAAGGTAAAAAGAGGGTTGGGATATAGCTCAGTGGTAGTGCGCTAGTCAATATGTGCATGGCCTTAGGTTCAATCCCCAGAAACATCAAAGACAAAAAAAAACTTTCTGTTCAAGTCTAACTACTTCCTCATTTGTCCTCCATATGGATCTGAGCCTCTTCTCAAATGCACAAGACCCTGACAATTGCCAATTCAAACATTTCTTTCCTCAAACTGCCTCTCTCTTTAGCCTCACTGACAGGTCAAGATGATCACATCTCACCAGGCAGAAAAGTCAGGCCACAACTGAATGTCCAAAGAACAACTTGGCTTTCGCCAAAAGAAAACTAGACATGCATGACCTTTGAGAAGGATATGTGAAGCTAATTAATAATAGCTCTCTCCGAGCAGCAGAATTTTAAGTGGTTTGCTGTTGCTTATATTTTCTGCATGTTATGCAGTTCTCATGATTACCATGTACCCATTTCAGAGAAGAAAACGCCGGGTCAGTGGTTTTATGTGGCGCTGCATTAGGCGCTATGAGGAAGGTACTCACAGGAGCTTCATCTCCAGGCCCTAGCACACACAAGCTGGCTTTGAGGTAGCCTCTGGCCCCTGCAGAGAAGTCATCAGGGTCGGAGAGCAGCAGCCACTTGCGGAGATAAGCGTGTCCTGCAGGAGATAAAGGAAAGTCTGGTCTGCAGCCAGACAGGAGCTTAGGGTGGGGTGTTTAGTGAGACAGAAGACCTGATCAGAAGAGGGGCCAGACTTCACACCTCAAGGATGTGTGAAGCCAAGAGCTCCCCATAGAATGCCTTGGTTCCTTAGCAGGGCCAGATTTCCCAGAGTATGAAAGACTGGCAATCATGACACCAACTGTTAACTACTGATACTGGATAACAAGAGTCTCAGAGATTTTTTTTTTTTTTAATCTAGAATCAAAAAGTACTTTGGACATTTGTGTGCCAGGGAAGAGAAGCATTACCAGAAACTTCTACAAGAGGTGGTAAAAGCCAAACACTGGCCAACTTTTCCACTTCCTTGGTAAATCACCAGACAAGCAAGGAAAAGTATAAAGTAACTCTGAAGGGAGCCCAGGCTCCACTACCCTGGCCACAACCTTCTGGAATAATCGTCCCTGAAGAAGCTGACTGATGATGCTCCTGAGGGCTTGCTTTTTGCACGGAAGAGAAATTCCTGCCTTCCCTTTCAAGTGCAGACCCCACCTCCGAGTTCTAAAGCACCAGGAAGGGAAAAGGAGCCTCCCCCCAAGCTGACCCCAAGCAGCTCCAGGACCAGAATGTCAGGGTTTGGCCAAAGCAAGAGGAACTCACGGGGTTCTCTGTATACGGTGCCCACATCCATCTGAAATAGAGAGGACATGCAATCAAACAATGGATTTTTTTGACTTCCCAAGTCCCCTCCTCTACTTTGCAGAGGGTTGTTTTCTCCATGGGCCTGCTGTATATTATGTGTTTCTTCACCCCCAATAAATGCCTTTCTTCAACTGCAAAAAAAAAAAAAAAAAAAAAAAAAAAAAAAACAACCAAAAAAAAAAAAAAAAAAAAAAAAAAAACAACCAAAAAAAAAAAAAAAAAAAAAAAAAAAACAACCAAAAAAAAAAAAAAAAAAAAAAAAAAAACAACCAAAAAAAAAAAAAAAAAAAAAAAAAAAACAACCAAAAAAAAAAAAAAAAAAAAAAAAAAAACAACCAAAAAAAAAAAAAAAAAAAAAAAAAAAAAAGCAACCCAAAACATACATATATACAAGCAAAGCACAAAGCACAGACTATATGCAGGCAAAACACCCATACACATTAAATAAATGTTTAACAGACTAAGAAATCTATCCAATGAGCTGAATGGACAGCCATATAATGCCATTTAATGTATTTTTTAAGAATTATTTACTTCCATTATATGTGTATGAATGCTTTCTTGCATGTTTGCCTGTGCACCACATATGTGCTTTATACCTGTGGAGTTCAGTGGTGTCAGATCTCCTGGAACTAGTAATTATGGATGTTTGTGAACTGCCATGCGGATGCTGCGAACTAAACCCAGTTCCTTTTGGCAAGAGCATCAAGTGCTCTTAATCACTGAACCATCTCTCCAGCCCCAACTTTTCAGTTCAGATCTGTTAAATCCATCCTGGAGTCTCCAGAACTCAGAACTTAGAGATAGACTATCCATTGTCCAACTCCTGGCCACCAGGAAAAGTAATCAGGCCAGAGCATGCTCATTCTCCTGAGTGCACATGAGAACTCCACTCCACACCCACAGGGAAGATGGGGTCAGGGAGCAGAGCACTACATCATGGGATAGGGTGGTTACATAGGCACATATATTTGAATCCTTGATTCACAGTTGGTAGAAATGTTTGGGAAGGATTAGGAGGTGTGGCTTTATTGGAGGAGTTGTGTTGCTAAAGGTGGGATTTGAGGTTTCAAAAGCCCAGTTAGCTCTCTCTGCCTGGTGCATGTAGATTGGATGTAAGTTCTCAGCTACTGCTCCAGCACCATGCCTACCTGACTGCTCCCCACCAGAATGGTCATGGAACACCCCTCTGAAATTATGAGCCCCAAATTAAATGCTTTCTTTTGCAAGTTGAATTGATCATGGTGCCTTAGCACAACAGTAAAAAAGTAACCAGGACACACAAGATAGCCATGGGTATGGGTTGGGTTGCTTCCCTTCTAGGGTGCAGGGAACTTAAAAGGCGGTTTAATTCCCTCTAGTGGACACAAGGGTAGAGTTCACTCCCTCTCTTTTTGGCACACTCTGACCTCAGGAAAATGGGAGTGTTAAGTACTTTCTCCAGCTCTTTTCGGTGTATCTTTTCAGAAAGGAAGTTAGCTTGAAGCTGTGGGGAACCATTCAAGGACCCAAGCTCCACGTCCAAAAGATAATTATGAAGGAAGGTCAGAGACATCTGGAAGCCTGACCTCTGAGGGTACCAAGCTCCAGGATGTCACACAACCTGTCACAGAGGACAAAGTTTTGTTTTTTCTTCTGAATAAAGAAAACTAACTCACATAGATGGCCAACTTAATTACCTCTGGAAGCTAGGAAGGACTCTGTGCTGGGGTGGGAGTGTGGAATATTCCTTTACAGTGTGTGAATTTGTGTCACTGTGATTGAGTTAATAAAGAAGCTGACTGGACAATAGCTGGACAGGTGGAGGTTAGGTGGGACTGGCAGAAGAAAGAGAGCCTGAAAAAGAGGAGGAGGGTCTCTCAGAATGGGGAGAAGATGTGGAGCAAAGGAGATGAACTTGTCATACTGAAAAAAGGTTATTGAGCCACATGGCAGAGTGTAGATAAGAAATATGGGTTAATTTAAAATATGAGTTAGCTTGTAACAAGCCTGAGCTATTGGCTGAGCATTTATAACTAATAGTATGCCTATTATAATTAATATTTGGGAGCAGTTGCCGAGACATAGAGAAACTCTGCCTACAGTTGGGGTGCTCTTCTGGGGTGGGGAGTGGAGGGGAGCTGTGATGGGGAGGGGAGGGGAGCTGTGTTGGGGAGGGAAGAGG